GAAGTCTGCTCTGGGCTTACATGTGAAAGTCAAAGATACCTGTATGTTTTTCCCTGCAGTGAGAAACATTTCAGATTTCAAGGGGGGGGGGGACTTTATTGTGAACAGATACAAATCTTTATTATGGACAGTAAACATGGATTTATTTTCTGTAATTCACCTTTGTCCACTTGATATGGATCTTCATTCATTCAAGGCTTATATAGGAATTGCCCAGCAATTTCATTACAAAGAGATAAATTCTGCACTTGATTAAATCCATGAATGCAGTAGTTTTAAACAAGGGAACAAAAGTATTAACACAGACTAAGCAGAAGAATGCTTGCCACATTATTTATATATGTAGCCCATAATAGGAAGAGAATGTGTTAAGGGAGCTGATTTGGCTCACATGTTGCCATGAACATACCTAACCGTATTCTTGAAATAATATTTGGCTTTATAGACATAGTAAATAGATTTTTTTCTCACAAAGCAAATGAGAAACAAAGCTCAGTTAAAGGAATTCAAACAATTTCATTTTTACATTAGGATAAGTAGATGCTCCAAAAGGAACATCTTTCTTTTAAACTATAGCTTACTAGGGCTAGGTTCAAGAATCATTTTTCAGTGGTACAGTATATGGAATAACAATTCCACAGGCAATGAGTAGAGGAAGACAATGCACATCCAAGGCATTTTGTTCCCTGTATGGTCTTTGGAAATGTGACTGGTCACTCACCTCTCCTAGAATATGCTGACATGCATATTAATTTATTACCTTTGTTTCCTTGTATGTGACCTGTCTGATAAGAGATAATAGAGGGGCTTTTATTTCTTCCTACATTTCTGCCATTTCTACTTCCTTTGAAGTAAAACTTAAAATGTTACCACAGGGATCATCATCAATCTGGCCTGTTTGATAAAAGGTAGTGATAATGGCCATGGCCATGTTTGCAGTAGATGTTGCTTTGGTTTGGTATTGTCTCTGAATTCCAGTCCTGCTATACCACCTGGGATAGTTGTATGCCTATAGATGCAGGTAAGAGAATGGGAAGGTGGTAACCTAGAAGCCCAAAATTTGATTGGAGAAATGATTTATGCTGGTGGACCTGCATGGGCCCTGGATTGGAATTAGTATCTGAGAACAGGATACTGATGTTTACAGACATCAACACTTTGCTTAACTGTAGACAGTAAGAGGGAAGTTCATCATCAGTTAAAGGTAACTGGTTTATTGTTGGTGGTAAAACACCAGTTCCCACAGAGTGGCCCAAAAGAACTTCATGCAGGGTCAATCCAGTGGTCCTGTTAAGATGGCTGTGCATGGAGTAGGGAAGAATATTAGACTGGAATGTATACTAAAGTGAGGGACCATTCCTTTATCAACTTCTTGGTCATAGTACCAATGTTGGCTTTCCTGCAAGGGCAAACTTCAGACTGTTAAACATGCAGATAAGAACATATAACCTTGGGCAGGTGGCATTTCAATGTTCTTTCAGAAAAGGGAGGGTCAATAGGGGAGGCTGTAAAGGTTTCTTAATCTTATATTGTGATGGAATACCTAACAGAAGAGATCTTTTGACTACAGAAGAGAGTTTTGAATCCAGGGGAGGTAAAAAGCACAAAATTCCACAAGAATGACTGGAACTCTACTTTATTGATATAGGCTGTAGTAACAGAATTTTTAAGTCCAGCTATATTCTCCCTCTGTCCCTCCCTCCCTTCCATACTCAAAAGAGTTAAGGTGGGACTAATCTGGGTTTCTTTCTAATGTCTTCTTCCTATACTGAACTTAAATCATATTTTTCTAACTGGTATCACATCATTTCTCCAAAGTTTTCTCTACAAGCATAATTAGTTTGGTAGGCTTTCAAGATTCTGTTATGTTACCCTACTAGCAAAAAGAATCTTTTCAGAAATCCCAGTTCTTGTTCCCTGAGCAGGCCAGCCTTGCAGGTTTGACAGCTGTAGACATTCGTGACAAGTCTGGACCACTTGTGGTAATAATAGGTGTGATCCAGGTGCCCAATATTTTTCAGTTTCATTTCATATCTCCCTTTTGCCCTTGTTTCTATCTGAATGGAGAAAAAGGAGGGAGCAAGGAAATGATCATTTGGAACCTGAAGAGCTCCATAGGGGTCAAGAAGGCACCTGAATTCAGTTCTTACAGGCTAGGTCCACTTTCTGAGCAGACAACACAGGAGATAATTGAAGAAACAAAAAGCAGTCTATAGAAAAACCTCAGGAGACTGGAGTACAGCATATTCAGCACAAGAAATAGCAAGCTCATGGCTTTTTAATATAATGGCAGCAACAGCAGAGGGCAGAAGGCTAGCATCAAGTAAAGGGAAAGAAAGCCAGCATTCTGAATTGGAGAACCTGAGGATGAGAGAACCCCACAGTTTTGCCAAAGTTGGCTCCATAGTTATGTGCAATGCCAAAACAATAATAACTGTCAGTATAAATATTAATAGAGACACCAGAGGCTAAAAGGCAAGCTCAGGTCACAATGTATAACACAGCGACTTGATAAGAGATGGAAGGAGGCAGAGAACCACATTTAACACAGGAAAAAAGAGTACGTACTGCATATCCAGAAACACTCCCATCAGCGATATGGTAAGACCCATCAGTATAAAATTCAAAATCAGCATTTGCAGTAGGGATTTCCTGAATATCAGGACAAAGGTGAAGTTGAGCTGCAGTTTACAGAAGATCATCATGATTGGAAAAACATTCAGCAAGAGACAGGGTTGAAAGGGAGGAGGGTTCAAGGGAGGAAATACGAGTGACAGTAACATTGGAAGAGCTCAATAGTGCTACTTCCAATTTGCTCAAATAATAGCACTGAAGTGTGATTTTGAACTAGATATTATTAGACTGTACTCTCCTCCTTCTGGTGTGGATTTTTGACACTAAGGTTGGAAATCTTATAGAGACTGGAAGCATGTACCAAAATACAATGGTACCTCAGTTCATGAACTTAATTTGTTCCACGATTCTGGTTGCGAACCGAATCAAATTTCCCCATAAGGTTCAATGTAAATAAGGTTAATCCATTCTGACCCCTACGAACGTGGTCGCCAACCAAATCAAATTTTCCCATAAGGTTCAATGTAAATAAGGTTAATCCATTCTGAACCGTATGTTTTTTTTTAACCCCAAAAATATGAAACAAAGTACAGAACAGTACAGTACGAAGAGACAGAGACCTTGCTTGAGGCGACACCGAAAAGCTTCACAGCAAGTGTCTGTCTGCAACCACGATCTCACCTAGAGGAAGCCACGACCACGTGTCAGAGCAGGGAAGATGGCCGCAGGTCGTGTTTGTCACCCGATGCGGAGTTCACGAACGGAAGCAAAAATTTGCGAACACTGCTGTTCGCGAACCGAATTCGTGAACTGAGGTATTATTGTACCTAATTGTTTTAGTTCAGTAAATTTAGTTTAGGGAATTGCAAAATCATATTATACAGGACACAAGTTGTCCATGGGACATGGGAGTTTCAAATCTGACATCAGCACCCAAAATCTGATGCATAGGATACTAATTCACCCAATCGTCATCAGGATATTTCTGAGAAGGACAATAGTGCTGGGGGAGATCAGCATCACACAAAGCTGGTGGTACAGGAGGAATTGGGGATAGAAGGTTGCATAATTAGCTCCTGCTGCATAAGCTGGTGGAGGTGGCCAAGTAGTAGAACTTAAAATGTCCTCTGCAGGAGAACATTTTATTGGATTATCTGCACCAGTGGATAATTAAGGATACGGTACATGCATCTCAGTGGCACTGTAGAAGGTGCTGTCCAACAATTTTATTTTAGTAATGTTTTAAATTAAGGTTTTATGTGTTTATATATTTTATGTTCTAATGTTGTTGTGAATCACCCAGAGTTCCCCCATTGGGGGGAGATGGGCAGTTGAAAAATGTAATAAATAAATAAATAAATAAATAAGTATGTATGTATGTATGTATATATATTCAGGTAGTTTAACTACCTGTTTCTTTAATTTCTCATTAATTTTCTGCAGATTCCTTATATGAGACCATTTGTTTTATGTGCTTCCTCTGTCCACAAATTATAACATCCCTGCAAACATTCATCTATTTTCTTCTATTCTAAAAATCCTTTAAGATACAGATTTTTGCCAATATAAAAAGTTTCCTTATTAGGAAATTGCCCAATTGGATCTTAATGCATCCATACATTCCATTTAGATGTATTTTTTCATATGATGAGATCCATAAGTTATTGTGTATTGTGGAGTCCTTGGGGTTCTCTGAACTTGGCTGTTTTCTTGCAGACATTTTGTTATCCAGCTAGGTAACATCTTCAGTGCTAGAAAGGAGAGGGACTTGCTCTCTGTTTATATATAGTAGCTTGCCCTGCCAGCGTTGGTGGGGATGTGGTTTCTTCCTTGGTAGTTCTTTGATTAGGCTGCTGTTTACTGCTTGATTGTGGATATTAGGTTGGGCTCCTCTTAGAAAATCTGGAACCACCTGACCATGTGAGCTCCTACCAGCTCCTATCCTCTCACTAACTGTCTTGATTGTAAAAGGGATGGGGTCTCTAGATCTCAGCCAGGACACTTACCTTCTTTACATAATTATCTTTACGAAGCTGGGACTGTAGTAGAGCTCAGCAAGGGCAAGCCAGATCCCATTTCCCCAACTACACTGGTTCCGATTTTACTGCTGATGCCAAATTGTTGTGGAATAACAATTTGCACCCAGTAAGTAGAGAATGCCAACAGGTAAACTTTATTTAGCAATGATTGCTTGATCTATCCTGCAGGAACACATACCAGCATTGGGAGGGTTGTGTACTAACAAACTTGCATAGCACAATGTATCCATTCTCATTGGTTTAATATATGATGTTGCTTTCCACAGTTAAACTTTACATTTTTTTTTTTGCACATTCAAAGAACGTTAGTTCCCTATATGGTATCTTAAAAACTGAAACGTCATTTTCCAATCCTAGAATAACATGGCATGGATGCTAATTTATTACCTTCCCTTCCTTGCTTGCGACCTCTCTGCTTAGAGATAAAGGAGAAGGCCTTTATTTCTCCCAGAAGAGATTGCCTTTGGTATATCTGAAACAAACAAACAAACAAACAAACAAACAAACAAAAACTTCTAAGCACATGCAGAGTACTTATCAGCAGTGAGGGAGTAAGTAAATTCCCTTTACATACATATTTCTGAGAAGGATGGAAGATCTTGCAAGCCCGACTTGCTTAGAAAGTAAGTCTAAGTTCTCTGCCACCTCTCACTTTAGAAATCAAGCATTGGTGAAAAGAAGCAATTTAAAGCTGTTACTTTCAAAACTAATAAATAGTGGAAAAGAGAGCATTTGAATGTTACCTTCTGAGGTACTTTCTACCATTACCTTAACATTCATACCTTACCTTCTACATTCAGAGAATGTTATTTCTCTGTCTCCACCTTTGATAACAAACGTTCATCTAGCTCATTCATACCCACAAAATACTGTGTGTATGTGTCTGTGTTTTCAGAAAAAACGAAAACCAGAAAAGCCAAAGATGAGAGGAAGAAGGAAGACAACAGAGACACACAGAATCGGCAATGAAATTCAGCTCAGTCAAACCCTGGCCCGAAATAATGCAAACTACTTACTGTACTGAATCCCAGAGCTGTGGGATAGCGACCTGATAACAAAATACACCACAGCCCCATTGCGCAATCTCAAAGCGAGCGGGCGCTCGGAGTTGCGCAGCCCCGGGGCGTCTGCTTCAGTCATTGCGGACAACGTGCCGAGGTGGAGCGTGGGGACTCCAGAAAGGTCAAGCTTGGAGGGAGGGCCTGAGGCACGGAGGAGGGGGTAGCACTCGCCTTCTCCTGCCAAATTAGGCTGCGGGCGCGGAATAACTTAGCAATAGTAACAGAGGCTGCCGGAAGGCACGCGTGGGGCAACCCAGCCCATGGACTAGAGCCGAGCGGCAAGTCCCGCGGGAGGGGACGCCTGTGGCAGGCGCTGCCAGAGCAGAGCAGAGCAGAGCAGGGGAGCGAGGTGCCTCCGAGGGGTGGACCCAGGCAGTGGTTCGCGGGACGGCTGGAGTGAAACTCAAGCGGCGCGTCCTCTAGCCTGCCGCCTCACTCTGCTCCGGGCATGCACTGAGAGCCCCTCACGCGGGCGGGCAGGCGTTCGAGGCGGCAGCGTGCGGACGAAGAGGCGGCAGCGGCGGCCGAGGGGAAGCGAAGGCAGGAGAGATTGAGCGGCTCTTGCGCCGCTGCCCCAGGGATGTCCGCGCACAGCCTGCTCAACAGCGTCTTCTCGTGCTCCTCCTCGCCGGCGGCTGCCGGCAGTCCCCCGCCCTCCTCCAAGAGCTTCTCCAAGCGGAGGCTCCGCCAGACCCGCAGTCTGGACCCCGCCGTGATCGGCCGCTCCAGCGGGGAGGAAGGGACGGCGCTGGAGAGCTCAGCCCGCGCCGCTCGGGCCAAAGCGGCGGGTGGTCCTTCGGCCGAGTACTTGGCCTTTTCCTCGCGCGCCCTGCTGCGCCCGCCCGGCGGAGGTACGGCGCAAGGCGCCTTCTCGCTCTCTACGCCCAGCACGCCCTTGGACAAGTCCCCCTCGGGCAGTTTCCACTTCGACTATGAGAGCCCTCGAGTCAAGAGGTTCACGGCGTGGGAGCTGCCCTTCCTGGCGCGCGCGCCCTCCGCCTCGGCTCTTAGCAGCGCCTATGGGGGCGGCGGTGCCAACAGCATCTTCCTTTCGCCCAGAAAGTGGCTCCAGCAGCGGAAGGGACAGCATCTGCCCAGCAGCCACGCCTCTCCCTACGTAGTGTGGAAGTCCGAGGTAGGATCATTGTCTTTAAAGGTTAGGGTTCCTCACATTCCCTCTGACCAGAGGCAGGTAACCTTTCAGTTAGGAGCAGGAGTAACGGAGAGCTGCTGTGTTGATGGTTCTAAATGGAAATATCCTCGTTGATGAACTCAGTACTGTAGCAGACCTTAGGTAATGGCATGGTAGTCATCTGCGAAAAGGAGTTGATAATCATGTCTCATTTATGGGGTAGGTTTGTAAAGTGCAAGAAATGGATATATTTCAGTATTCAAGAGTGTTAAATTGCAAGGGACAAACTATTTCAGTATTTGGAAGTGTTAGACAAATGAATAATGATCTTTGCAATCTAAAATGGGCCCAGAACAGGATGGAGAACCTTTAACCTGCCAGGTGTTGTTGGATTCAGCTGTCCTAGTTAGTGTGATGTATGGAAGTTGTCATTAAGCTTGGGGAAGCATGTCCACATACAGTACTTGCCTAGAATATTCTTGTCTGATGTTGAGTGAGGGAATGTTTCAGTCCCCTTCTCCATCGTAGGATTCCTCAAAAACATATTTGATCAGTATCAGGTGTACCTGGAGGTATGCCTTAAATGTTGATACTTCATTTTTTCCCCCTTGCTGGCTTTGTCACAGGTTTCTGTACTTAATTATTTTTAAACTTTAAAATCTTGAGAGTTTAGGATGCCTGTGTGACTTGAAAGTTTTGCTTCCTAGATCAGGTTATTCTTTCTTGTTGCCAGGTTTCATCTCTTTGGTGATATAATGGCATGACTATGTTCTGTCCTAGTTACATATAGTTTACAAAAATAATGGATAATATAATCTTGAGTGATGAAAAAACCCTCACCCATCTCACCACCCAAAGCATACAATTAATACATCTGCATAATCTGCAGTTATATTATTATTGTCTAGTCAAAGATCAAGTAGGCTGAATATAGTCAAATGTATACCTTGGGCTTCAAAAAAGTATTTATTTCAATAAACTCTGAGCAATGGTAAACAAAATTCTGTATCCAAACAAACTAATAGGAAGAAGACACCAAGGTGGGTAGGAGTTCTTTAAAAAGGTGCATCAACAGCAAATCAAATCAGTAGATCTAATGACCAAAAAAAAAAAAAAATAATCAGAAGCCAATATGTAAGTGGATTAAAAACTTTGTTGTAAATCTGAACATCAAAAGAAAATATGTAGTAGATGAAACAGGTCATCCAAGGAAAGTATGTGTAGTACTGTAGTCTGAACTTGTAAGATATGATGATGGCTTTAGGAAGGCTAAAGATCAGAATGGGCTGTGGTTGATGAAGATTGTTAAATACAGAGGAGATCATAAAGTGAACTCTAAGCACCTTGAAACAATGAAGTTACTATTTTTCACTAAGTTAGCATGTATCTGTTGAGAACAGGTCTTGTCAATGAACTTTATGCCATTTATTGATTGAATAACTTCCTTAGTAGATTTTGGGAATGTCATGGACAACATATATCTTGTCTGATGAGTAAGCTGGGTAATTATGGACTGGATGTCATATCTGTCAGGTGATACTAAGTTTGCCTGAAAACAATATTCAAAGAGCTCCTCATCATGCTGAAGTCATGCACCAAGTAGGGTGCCACAGGGTTCACTGAGACACTGAGCATTTTAATTAACAATTTGTATAAAGAGATGGAGAGAATCTTACCAGATTTGCAGATGACACATACTAGATAGAATATGCAATACTACAGAAACAAAATTCAAAATGAGAATGAGAAGCTAGAGGGATGCATTGAAAATACAGAATGAAATTTAATAGAAACAAATGCAGATTTAATTTAAATTGATTGTATAATTTAAAGGCCACCCAAATCCACCAAGACTCTGGGTAGCTTACAAATTTAAAAGGAAAAAACAGCGTTAAAGAATAATGATCATAGGTGCGCCCCCCCCCCAAAAAAAGCATGCAAGGGTTTAGGAAAGAGAAATTAAGTACAAGGATATGGATGATGGATTCCTGGTTTGATAGTAAATCTTGTGAAAAAGATCTTGGAATAGTACTTGATTACACACTAAATATGAGTCATCAATATGACATGGGTGTAAAGTATTGAAAGGAGAGTCACGTGGAAGAAGGATATGATTTGTTCTCTGAACTGCCAGAGTACAAGTTACAGAATCATGGTCTTAAGCTACAGGAACGCAATTTCCATTTTTCCCCCCCAATAATTTTATTACAGATTATATAGAACAGATAAAACCGAATACAAAAACCTAATACAAAATTACATAGCTACAGGAACGCAATTTCCATTTGAAGGGTGTGAAAAACAAGTGCAGTGGAATCATTTACCTAGACATTGGCAAGCTCCTCTTTACTGAATGTGTTTGAGCAGAGGCTGGAAAGCCATGTCTCTGGGATGCTTTAACCTGGGTTTCCTGGATTTCTGAACTCAGCAGAGTGTCATTCCAACTATATGAATCTAACATGCTTGACTAGCTGCAACCTTGTTAAACTGTTACCCTAGGATTCGCTTGAGCATTGGCATCTAGGAAGACAAGGCATAGGGTTGTTTTGAAGGATTAATTAAGTCCTTACAGCATTGCTTAATGTTGTTTGGCTTTTTTCATTGGTTCAAGTACTGGAAAATTTGGGAGATTATGATTTCTTTTATTAATTTCATTAATCGTTTTTGGACATACTGACATTTATACTGGACCACTTATTACAGAAAATATTGTGGGAGTCACAGGTTATTGTGGATGTCCCTTAATTGAGATGTATTAGTCCTTGAAATAATTGGGAGAAGATTTAGAGAGAGAAAAAAATGTCAAGAGGAAAGGAGAATACTGTTCTTCATATTGGTTGTGTCTGCAAGGTACACTGAATCACAAACTAACCATACACATTTTAATATAGCATGTTGTACAAATGAGAAAATTGGGTTTAACTGGAAAAAAATCATGATTAAGTTATTAATGGGTAAATGCTACCATACAAATACAACCACTTGGTACTCTGTAAAAGTAGGCTGTAACTATTGCCAGATAGTTAGGCAGTATCTTTATTTGTTCAACTGAAAGGTCACCCAAAATAATGAAATTTATGTTAGGGTAAGTTAGAAAAAGGAAGTAGGAATTGAACCATGGGCTTAGTCTTCAGTTGGAGTGAGGAAGAAAGTTTAGACATTGATGTTAAGCTCTGGAGGATTCCATTATTTCTCTATGAATATAGGGCTGAGACTTATGATTTGAATCTTCATTGTGAAAAGTGGAAAACCCAGCTGTTTCCCAGACCTATTTTTATTCTTAAACAAAGCCAACAATAGGTTTCTTTTAACTGGAAAAGAGAAAAAGCAGAGTAGGGAAACACCAGAATAGATATTTTTATTTTGGGTGATAAACTAGATTAAAGGGAGAGAAATATGTACAAACTGGTTTATCAAAAGGTTCTTCTAGGATTTATATTTTTTTAAAAGCAAACAAACTATTTCTCTCCCATGGGACGATGTTCATAAACATCTAGTAACTTTTTAAAAGTTTTGAAATACATTCCTTTATCAAACAGAATGCTTTTTATCTGTCCCTAAAACTTCTCAAAAAGCATATGAGGAAAAGTTATTGGAAATTATATTCCTTATTCATATGCCTACACTTCTATTTCCCGGTGGCAGATTGTTCTTTGAAGTCCCATTCAAAAGTGTGCTCTTTGTTTGTATACTCAATTTATTCCATACATAGTTGAAATGAGCATATAGAATTCCTCTGCTATTGTGAATATGAAGTAGTAAGCACTAATGACCCTGTTAGGCTAATTATTTCTGCTACAATTATTCCAGTCATTGTTTAAAAAACAAAAACTTTCACAATAGTAAAATTTAATTAGTAATGAATGAAGTAATGAGGCAGTGGTATTTTAGCCTGTTATCCTGCAGATATGTAAAAGTGCTATGACATCCATAAATGCATGAGTTTCTACTACTTTTTTTAACGAAAGTAACATGTATTATAACCCCTGCCTCAGACTGTAACAGCTGGACGTCTTCATCAGTCCATGCTAAATTCCAGACATGTAATAATAGTGTCAACAGTTTTGTGTGCCAGTTGTAGGCACGTACTGAAATTATCAAGAAGTGGATTTTGGGACTGCCATCAACAACGTATCCTCACGGCAACTGAAAACCAAAGTTGCTGCATCTGTATGTCTACTGCTTAAAATGTAACACACTGTATATAGAATATTATTTCATAAGAAATGCTTTGTGAAATATATTCATAAAAAATAATTTGTGCAAGATATAAAATAAAACAGCTGTCTGATTTTAGGGCCTTGATCACTAATATTTCACAGCCAGATCTGAAGAGGTGTTAAGCTGCCAGATTTTTTTTCTTATTTGCATTGAACTGCTTATATCAGATAAAAAACAAAACAGTATCTTTCACGGATATGATGATCTTGAAAGAGGATCTCCCTGGCTCTTGGGATATTTCCTTATTGTGGTCAATGAACAATACATTATAAGGAGATATGTATACACAGTCAAAATGGGGGGAGAGCACATAAAAATACTACAAATGGATATCAAATCCACTGACATTCATAATTTATAGTGCATAACTATGGTAAAATATTAAGACTACTGGCTAAGATAATCAAGGAAAAATGGCTGTTATTGCAAATGAGCTCTACAAGATAACATGGAAATTTGGATGCATTAAACATTGTTTTATTTATTTATTTTGATTATTTAATCAATTTATATACAGTTTCAGTTGCATAGAAGGCACACAGTAGTATAGTGAATACAAGTTAAAAACAACAGCAAATGAAGAAAAATCTGCTATAATGAAAAACATTAAGAAACCCTGCAGAAGATAAGGAATACAATATGCCAGCTCTGTTGCCAAGATGACCAGAGGTAAAACATTATACATCCACAATAGCCAGATAACATTTGGAAGCAGCTCAAACACCTCCCTAATTCACTGAACTATAAGTAGGAAGAGGCAGTATCATTAAGAATCTCTCTAA